GATCACAGATTCAGAGTCCTAACACACACAGCCACACACTGCCCCGAAACACTTCCCCTTAAGTCAGAATTGACCCTAAAACTGTTTATTATGATGCTCCTACAATCCTCCGCTGTATCAACTGAGTTTCCGAAGGAGAAGAGCAGGGGGAAATGCTCAATCCTGCCAGGAATCCAACCAGGAATCTTCTGATCCGTAAACAGATGCATTAACCATTGCAGCACTGTTTGGGAAATACAAAGGTTGGAACTCAGATCCCCCAACAGAGCATTGCAATCACCAACCACTTAAGCCATCCAACTCCTTGCATAATTTGCCCACATGACAAACAACTGGTTCAACATCAGGCTAATGCCCGTTCTTAGGAGTCCCAGGGTCAGAATCACCAGCCCAGCACAGAACTGAGCCGGACAGGGTGACAACAGCAGGTCATTTCCACTTATGTGGAAATTACCATGGATCATCAGAGATCTGTAACACAGCAGAGGAAACGTGTCACTCCCCCCCCCCTACCCTGGGGCACATGAATAGATCCCAATCAGCTGCCGCACCTTTCAGTTTTGCTGTTGGAAAAAAAAATCAGCACACATGCTCTCAGTATGATAGCTACACAGACTTTTTGCTTTACTCAGCAGGTAAGCGCTCTGCGGTGGGGGCTCTGACAGTCACTTTTGAGAATGTTAGTCAGGACACTGTGGAAGTGACAGCATTGGTGCCATTAGCTACCTTTACCAGAATGTCTTAAGTTCTTGTAAGATTACTAGCCCAGGTAATGAGCAAGCACACACAACATGAATCATTCTCTGTTAGGCGGCTCTGTCTAACAGGATGACCAAATGCTGGCAAACCCAAGAGAAACTAGACTATAGCAATGAAGACGTTCTTGTTGATGACACAATATTGACGTATTGACAGGACTGTTTCACAAACACTGGCAGGATCTGGATCTGCATTCCTGCTTGACCAGTTAAACTACGGAGCACAGCATGGTGCCAAGTGTGTGGTGCAAAACAGCAACAAATCTGATCCTTTATTCACTGAAACCTTTTTATAAAATTTGTTAAAAACAGCAGGTTATTAATATAGCAGCTGATGGACCTAATGGCTAACAACCAATCAGCTGCCCCTTGCTGCTCTGAATGCAGAGGCAAAGCAGCCTGATTGACAGCAGCCTTGGTCACAGGTAAACCCCTTGTTATGAGTAGTGGCTTTGCTTTAGCTGACTGGGTCAGTAATGAAACAATGTAGCATCCGTGGCATTCTGATCAAGGCCTGGGTTAGCCGCACGTGTCATCAGCACCGATAGGTCAGACTCCCAGCGTGTTTACAGTCATGGACCTCTCTCTGGTTTCATACTGTGTTACAATAATTGGCAGGTTTACAGCAAGCATGGCAAAAACGCGAGTCAGCTGCCCCATAACCCCCCCCCCCGCCAACGCCTTTTGAGATCTCAAAGTGAGTGTGTCAAGCACGCGCTTTCGGGAATGTGTAGGCGCAGCCGGGGCTGACCTGCCACGCACAGCCCACGCGTATTCCACTGGCAGTGGGGTTCGAGCGCAGCACGTTCCCAGCCCTCTAACACTGCCATACTCGATGACGATCTTACAAAACAGCAGCATATCTGCTTGGGATCTGTTGAGATCTGTCTCCCGATAGGTCTGAGCCTCACGCTGCACCAGTGGAAGTCTTCTCCCACACCTGCTACGATGAACAGCCTTGATCCATTTTGCTCATAGCATGACATTGTCACCTCACTGATTCTGACTATTTGTTTAAGGCGATGGGTTTATCACAAAACTCTTCTCTGTTCCTTCTTGCCATAGGGTGCATCATCAAACATCTTTGCATTTTGCATTGCTGTTTTTATTTTGTCACCCAGAGTTTATCTCCGGCCGGAAACTGCAGGTATTATCGCACGGTGTACATGGTTTCTGGGAAGGCACACAGCTGACTCCACTGTCGTCTGTGCGACGTCGCCCCCGCAAACACCTCACTGAGATTGGAATGCAAAGGGCGAGATGCAGAGCAAAGACTTTTACCTTCAGTCTCTCTACAGTTCAGCTTTAAACTTCCTGTTTCGCAGCCTCTGTATGAAAACAAAGAGAACTCAAAAGCCAGCTTGTGGTGAACCGTATTTCATGAAGTGAGCTTTTGACTATTTTAGCTTTCATGCTACTCAACCTCCATTTCCCTTGAGTTTTCTTTTATAAACTTTCAGAGAAATTATGGTTTCTTATAATTATCTATCCAAACCCTAATTCTGTTTATATGAGGGACTTAAAAAAATTAAACAATACAATTATAGGAAGAGGACAATAATCAAACAACATGGAGACAGTGGGCAAAAAAGACATATTATTATTATTATTATTATTTTTTTTAATAATAATAATAATAATAATAATTAGGAGAAGACAATTAATAAGAATAATAAATAAACAAACAAATAAATGAATGCATACATCTTACAGTACATATACATAGTTACATGTATGAAGATAAGGGTAAAGTCAGTATCTAATAAATTAGCAAATGATTACACAGCAAAACAAGACAAATAAGCACAGGCCCTGTCTTATATGAATATCTGAGGGACTTCTCATGCTATCTAAGGTGTCTCCTACCATTCACACCGTGGATAGGCTCCAGGCTCAGTGGGTTGTGATTTAGGTTTCTGGTTCAAATCCCGTGGTCGGCAGAATGACTTCACCGTTGAAGCCTTGAGCAAGGCCCTTAACTCTGCTTTCTCAATGTCGCTTTGAGTAAAAGCATCTGTCGAATGAATCGATAGAAGGACACTCTAACATTAATGGCCAAGTAGGAAAAGAAGACACACAAATGCTATCATAGTTAGCTTTATTATCAAGGTAAGTTTTGTTTTAAAATTTAACAGGGTAATACTTCAATATTAAATATCTATACAAGAAAATTAGGCACTCACAATACTATATAAAACTATATAAAAACTGAGTCCTATTGACTAAATTATCAGATCTATAAATATATGTTATATAAACAGTGTGGGGAATTTGTGGAAAAGCATGAATAAAAATCTGAAATGTGAATCGGTTTTAGTTTCCGGAACTGAAGAATTAAATTTTCTACATACTATTCAAAGCAAAAAATGAAAACAGGAGACAAATAATCCCTGCTGGGTAAACAAATTAGTCTGAGGGGATATGCCATGAGTGTCATTACATTTCCACTTGCTTGACACAGACTTCTTCCTGCTAGTAGTGTAGTAAGGCAATGCTGTGACACAGTGGTCGCAACTGGAACTGCACACCACCAGGGCTGTAATTTGTGGGTTTGAAACCCCCCCTTTTTTGGTAAGTGGGTTACCTCTAGGTACTTTGGTTTCTTTTCTCGGTCCACAGAACTGTGATTCAGATGAATTTTTGATTTCACATAGTTACCATCTGTGTATGAGTGACTCTTATGGCCTGGCATCCAGTGTAGGCTGTTGACTTTGTGGTAAAAAAAAAATTGTTTCGGATCACTGAAAAAAGAATCGTACAATACAGTAGTGCCTGTATAAATGTGTGAAAGTGGTCAATTTCCCGAATGCAATGTAGACCTACAGTGACCACAAGTTAAACTTAACCTATAGTCATTTAAAAACTACAATGCCCTCTCATTCGGGTTTAGTCATAAACTGTGAAACATTTATTATTCAAATACAGCTCAGCATTTCTCATATTCAGTGAGGGCATTATGCCAAGGACACGTGTTACTATGTATACTGCAGCCCCGAAGTCACATAGCAGCATCTCAAGCCCTGAGTTTAGGGGAACAATCTAGAAATATTACAATCAATTTTATTATTACCGATGTGTGTGTGTGGAATCTGGCATGGAATGTCAGAGCAATCAAGGGAATTTAAAAAATAGATAAAAATAACACAACTAAACAAATCTATGATCGTAACACTATATATATGCGACAATAGTATAAAGTAGAAGACTGAGTGATAACCAACATACATCATGGAATGCTTGTTTTATTACATTTTATGTTTATGTTGTTCTAAAAGCAGACATACATAAACCAAACCAAAAAGAAATTATGTGCCCATTTTCTATGTTCTGTTGTTGTCCATTAGGTGTAATTACTGTAGCCTCACCCTTCCAGAGTTTCCTTCAACCACAGTCTTGATTACCCTAAGCGTCTGGGAAACTTGGGGTAATATGCTTAGTGAATTGCATTTATTTTGAAGACTGCCCTCTGCTGGTTGAATTTCACAAACAATCGCAGAGAAGATAATCACTTACATCTTCACATCCAGGTCGCGTCAACGGGGAAATATCTGATAATATTACCATAAAGAGACAATTGCATGAAACATATTCGTCCTATCGTTAATAAAGAGTGGAATGACTATAATCACGTCAATGAGAAACTGTTCTTAGTGACTTGTCTGATAAAATAAGGATTAAATAAAATATTTTTTAAAAAAACGTCACGCATATCTCAAATCAGTCGACATGACAATGCCCGCATAAATTGTTATACGACTTGTCACATGTGAATCAATTAAACCAGCTCAAATTGTTTTTTTTTTCTTTATGGCAAAATCTTTCAAAGCAAACAACGGAATGCAGTAGGGTATCTTATATGCTTTGTCTAAATATACTACATGTTCAATATAAGTAAATACTATTTTTTAATGGCAGTAGTATTAGTCTGCAAATCACTTAAACGCAAACAGAGTGAGTGAGAGAGAACATGGACAGGATCCGCACCTTAACCCTTGGAGGTGTGAGGCAAGAATTATACTCAAGGAAGCATCGTTGCTTATTCGTTATCCTGTGCAGATAGCAAATCACACATATTTGTATTTTTTTTTGTAGTTTTGATGCCTAGACGGTACAACTTACGGCTACAGAAAACTACAATCCCCTACATAACAGCCCCAGATTCCACATACCATACGTCAACGGAAACGCAGGTTCGCCACTCTGATTGGCTGGATAGAGGGTTTTCCGTTCGTAAAACAGCGAATCCGATTGGGCACAGTAAGTAGCCATATTTCGAACTCGTAGTTCATTTCCTTTGGTGTTTAATTGTTTTTGTTTACCAATCCGTAAGTAAGTTAATAACGCGGTTTGATCCTTTTCGTCTGTGCCTCGTCGCGTATATTTTCCAGTTGCGAACAATGCCGGTGCACTCACGGGAAAAGAAAGAGAGCAACCACGAAGAAATGGAGGTGGATTACCAAGAGCAGGAGGCGAGCAGCTCAGACGAGGAGGACACGGAAAGCTCGTCGGTCTCTGAAGATGGGGACAGCTCAGGTGGGCACGATCAGCATGAGCACCGGACGTGTCCGTTTGTGAGGTGTTCGGTGACACGATGGCCTTGGCCACGGCGCCTATCACAGCATGCGTCCGAAGCAGAGCACGATCCAGCCACCGGTGTCCACAGAAAACTAGCTAGACGATACCAGTTGAGCGCATGGCCACATCTCCCCCTTTACCTACATTCACAGATATAGTTTCCAATGTTAGCAGTGCTGCATTTGTATCTGCTGGCGTTAAAATCTAAAGCTGTGCATGTCTGCGGGTAGCCCCGTGCAATGACATCTGCAGGGTGCCCGCTAATGTATTAACACTACCAATGCCCATGGGATGGGATGCATTGCCATCCCGTGTTGCTGTTAATTTTTTTTTGACGGTGGGGTTAGTATGGCTGTTTTTTTCTTCTCTGATGTAGAGATGGACGATGAAGATTGCGAAAGGAGGAGAATGGAATGCTTAGACGAAATGACAAACCTAGAGAAGCAGTTCACAGATTTGAAAGACCAGTAAGACACCGCAGCGTTCCGCATGTCAGCGATGTTACTACACTGTCTGCTGTGCTGTGGTCCTATATTTACCCCCACACCTACGCGTTTTTGTCGTGCTGTGTAGGCTTTACAAGGAAAGACTAAGTCAGGTAGACATCAAGCTGCAGGAGGTCATTGCTGGCAATGCTGCAGAGTACCTTGAACCCCTCGCCAACCTGCAGGAGAACATGCAGATCCGAACCAAAGTAGCAGGTACTGCAGACTTGTTGCAATGATTGATGCTATGAATTATTATATTTTTAATGAACAGTTTAAGCTACCATTCACTTCTGTTTAGTTGTACTATATTACATTACCAGTCAAAAGTTTTTGCACACCACAGGTTTTTACCACTTTCCCATTCATTTCGTAAACTGCAGATTTTTTATTTTTGTTAAGCAGTTGATTGAACAACTGTAAATGAAAATATTAGTCAAATGAAAAGTTTCCTTTATAACGTGTAAAGAGTTTGCAACAGTGCATGTCTGACATCCTATTAACTAGTTGTGTGGTGATTGCATAGTCAAATTATAGGCTGTCCTTTAACTTTAAATGCACTAGTTAACTGTTTCATCCCATGAAATAGAGCAGTTTTTAATGTCCCTTGTAGAAAGAATGCCTCAAATTTTCTCTGCTGTTATAACTGCTAGAGCAGGTTAGTTTGATGGATCAAAGACGTGACATTTTCTTGCGAATAAAGGTACTGGGATGGTGAACATACTGTGAATTTATTTGCTAGCAAAGAATATTGAGTGTATTTTTAGTAAGTGTAGAAAATCTCTATGTGCAAAAACATTTGACTTGTAGCGTATTTCCCCATGTGTCGGGTTGTCTGATCGTTTTTGGATGAGGACCTTCTGAAGGTCTTTGTGTTCTGTGACCGACTTTAAGACTGTTTAAACCCTGTTCAACAACAGGGATCTATAGGGAGCTCTGTTTGGAGTCTGTGAAGAACAAGTATGACTGTGAGATCCAGGCTGCCTTCCAGCACTGGGAGGTAGGCCGTCACGTCGAGGGCCAGCCAGCATGCTCACGGGCCATTAATCACCACTCCATTCTGCCGCCGCATTTGCACGCTTCGCCGTTTTATGCTGGTCAATTAAAGCGGCCTATTGCTTAAGGACCTTGACTCACGACCGCAGAAAAGGACTTAGTTTGGTTCCCAGGAAGGCTTTTATCCTCATGCTTCGGTAGATTCTGCACCTAATGAAGTCTCTCGGATGGCAGCGTAGCAGCGGGTTGACATGTTTGTGGCGTTTACCCCTCTAAGAGTGAGAAGCTGCTGCTGTTCGATACGGTGCAGAGCGAGCTGGAGGAGAAGATTCGGCGACTTGAGGAGGACCGTCACAGCATAGACATTACCTCAGGTACATGATACCCAGCATCCTATGCTGTGGATATGTTATACTCATTAACTTCAATGGGATGCCCCATCAGTCAAACAGTACATAATGGCTCTTAGCTAAGGTCTGCAAAGCACACTGGTGTAGTATGAACATGACCCAAAGTACAACTAAGAATAACAATACCTTCAGCGTAATATTATTTCAGGGATTGTGTACAATGCTATTCAGGGGTGAAGGTGAGAGGAGAGCCTTTTGTAAACTCTGCTGTCCTTAGATACACAAAGGGTGCTTGGCATTCTGGGATACGATGTGCTGATGCATCATCGACTGCTTCATTTCAGAACTGTGGAATGACGGACTGCAGTCTAGGAAAAACAAGAAGAAAGACCCCTTCAGCCCTGACAAGAAGAAGAAACCAGTGGTTGTTTCAGATATCCTGTTAATCTAGTTTCTGTGCGTCGGTGCAATAAGGCTCCATGCATTTTTCCATTACTCTTTTGGTGCAGTGCTGCATTACTCTTCTATTACTCTTTTGGTATATCTCCCATGCAGTGCTGTCGGTATGCTGGTGCCGGTGAGATTCAGGTGGTTTTTGCTTGTGTGCCCTAGTTGTTTGTTTTTTTTTTGTGCTCTGTAATTGCATTGCGTTTTTTGCGTGCACTCAGATGAAAAATTCCTCCTTAACCATGTCACGACCCTACATTGTTTACATGCTGCAAGACCTGGACATTCTTGAAGACTGGACCGCTATCAGAAAGGTAGTACTAGGGGCATGTGGCATGCGGGACAGGGGGGGTGTGAATTTCATCATGGCTCGCGGGTGGTTTGCTTTCCCATTTAATGTCTCCCCCGGCGTCTATCTTCCAGGCGACAGCTAGCTTGGGGCAGCACAGAGTGAAGACCGATGGTAAGTGTGAGATTATGTGCCTCTTTAGGGAAAAGAAACATTGGTGATGAAATGTGCTGTGTTGTTTGAAAAGCAGAATGCTCATATCACTGGAATTTCGTATCTTTTACACATTTTAAATAGTCCATCTATAAGCTCTGAATGTTTAAAGCAGCTGATAATTAAAGCCTAGCACAATCGGGATTCAAACCTATAATCTTTGGGGCCTTATCTGCCAGCGACGGCTAACCCGACACTCCCTCTCTGTTCCTGACAGTCCCTGCCAAGAGCGAGAAGCACCAGCACAGCGTGCGCTCCGAAGACGGGCGCCTGTTTTACGACGGCGAGTGGTACAGCCGGGGACAGACCATATGCATCGATCGGAAGGACGAGTACCCCACCAGGTACCGGAGCCTCCTGTCCGCTCTCCCTGTTTGCTGTGCCCTACTTCTCTTTGCTTTTAAATCCCTCCATCACCTCCTCCCCTCAGCGCTGTCATCACGACGATCAACCACGACGAGGTCTGGTTCAAGAGACTCGACGGCAGCAAGTCGAAACTCTACATCTCTCAGCTGCAGAAAGGCAAATACACTATCAAGCACTCTTAGGGGCCCGGGGCCCGGACTGGCCCCGCCTCCTCTGTGTTGCCCCAGTGACTCTGACGACAGGCCGTGTCCTGTCTTTACGCTACCCGTACCTGTAGTTGAACAGCTGCCCCTTGGAGACATTTACTCTTCCCTCCAGCTGCGAGATGATCGTCAGTCACGGCTCTGATCTCGCATGTGTGGGGTTGCGACTCTCCACGCTGCTAGTGGTGCGATGGCTGCCAAGGGGAGCGAATCAGGGACTGGGGGAAGCTAATATTTGGCCCACCGCAGTGGATCCGTGCACGTTATTACTTAGTGCTTTGCTCGGATTCGACCATGTGAGCTAAATATGGCGTGGCGAGGCTCTGAGCGCCTCCGGGAATCGCACCGTTCCTCCTCACTGCAGCAGCCCTTGCCAAATGGTCTCCATAACACCGTCACAGCGCGTCTTGCCGGCACCCACGCACGGGGCTCGATTTATCTGCTATTTCTGTTCTCTCTCTACTCCTCTCTCTCTCCCCCGTTCCTCTCGGTCCTTCCCCATGCAGTATTATGTGGTGTATCGGAGCTGCATCCTCGACCCGCTTCAGCCTCCGGTTCATGTCACATGACCAGCTGACCTTATCAGACTCCCCCCCCCCATATAAGTGTTCGGAAGATTCCAGTTTAGACTGACCTTATCAGAGGAAATACCGCGAGTGCTTTTCTATCTGTTTACAGGATCCGTTTTCAAATGCTTGTCATGTCACATAAATATTACATATTCTCCATGTTTCACATATGCTTGTGTTTTCCTTCATTGCCTTTGTAAAAAGGATTTGGAGTCCGTTGCCTCTTTTGCTGCAGAACAGTCCCCCTTGCCCTAGTTCCCTCTTGGCCCAAAGGTCGGTTTACCTGCAGTTGATTTTTATTCTCGGGACACCCACGTCCTCCTCGCCGGCTGACCAAGGTCGTCGGTGTCGGTGGTGGCAAACATAGCTGACGGAGGTGTGGGTTCGGAGCCCAACAGACCGCGGCCAGACCCCAGCGAGACATCCGGTCTGCTCCCCGGCCCTCTGAACTGCTGGCTGAGGGCCCCCTCAGGCAGTGCTGGGAATGCGGGGCCGCGTCCACTCCGTTCAAACCCCGGCAGTACTGGGGGACACGCCTGTGGGTTGTTGGCTAACTCTCAGAACAGCGGTCAGGCTCCCAGAATGAAGCCCTGTGGCTGGCTGGTTAGCGCCGAGCGTGTTTGGCTTTCTGGTCAGTTACACGGTACATGTGACTTGATTATTATGTAATGCACTTGCATGCTCGCATCGTCAGTACTGTATTCAGTTTAGATACTTGCAGTTAGTCTGAGAGCAGTTGGTTGGTGCCACCGTTTGCCTTTCCCCTGCTCTGTTTCAGTTTGCCCCTCTGGGGGGGTGTCGGTGAGCGACCCTGATCGTCCTGTGGCTCCCAACTTCCATTCCATATGCAAGTATTTGAAACAGAAAGGGAACAGATCGGAATGCCACACTGCTGTCCCCCCCCCCAATGAAGTGCTGAACTGTGAAGCGTCCTAAGTGTGTCGATCCGCCCTGCTGTGTGAAGGTATGGCGGCCCCCCCACCGTCACACGAAAAGGCTCTGAGCTGCAGCTGCTGGCATTAGTCTTGGGTTATTAAACGGGATTCTTTGTGTTTTTTTTCCCGTGACACAAAGCGGCTCTGGAGTGCCTGCATTTTGTGTTTTCTGTACTGTATCATGAATAATGAGCAACAGGGTGCTCTGTATTAAGTGAGGTTAAACGGCTTTCCGTGTGGCACGCTCCCCGTATGAATCACGTCAATTGCAGATGTTCCTGCGTAAAAAGGGACATGCTGCGTTGTCCCAGAGGTATGAACGATACCGCTGTACAGCTTTCGGGTCTGTGCCTTGCTCCTCTACCGCCATGGACAGAAAAAGGCTGTGAGCACAATGTTACAGAAGCATCACTAACAGCAGGGTTTCCCAATCCAGTCTGCAGGGACTCTGACAGTCCATGTTTTTGCTCCCTCCCAGTGCCCAGTAGGGAGGGAGCAGAAATGTGGACTATCTGGCAGGGAACTGGGAAAGAGCAAAAACTTGGTTGAGAAACACTGACTTGTGCATTGAATTTATAGGTGTAGCTTTTCAAAATGAGGCCATCGGAGATCCCACCTGGGGTAGGGAGCGGTGTCAGATGCTTCAGGAAACCCGTACTGTGAAGGGGGGGGGGTCGCTTTCTGTGCCCATAGCATTGAAGTCCAACTGATTCTCTCAATGTTTATGTTCTTTTTTGTAAAATAAAATGTCTACCACACCTTCTTTGTCTCTGATTCTGAATAATGACATCGAGGTTGACCTTTGCCCTGCATGTTGTGGTAGATGATATCATTAAAAACAATAATGATGCCCACATAGCAAGTGATCAAGGCATCTATTCCTTTTAGTAGTAAAGACACTGGGATTCCCTGTCATGCTCTTGGTTCCTGAAGCAATGTTCCTGTTTCGGCAATCTGGAGAACGTATGCTATCCCAGCGGGGAGGTGCAGGCCTGTGGACTGAAAACCGGTCCTGTTCTCGGTGCTGGTCATATGACTGAGTTGCCCTGATGCTTAGTAATACAGGGGCCTCCCATGTACAGCGCCCCCTTATGGACCTAACTGTTACTGCTTCTGAGTGGACATGTTACAGACGTCAAGGTGAAGTGAAACGCGGATGGAGGGAGTTAATGGTAAAGGGGACTAGAGTGCTGGCATGTGAAAAGGCCAGACCCTGGACATAGCTTGAACTGTTTCCATCTGACATCTCACAGAGTTGAGTCCTTTGGCACTAATTACTTCAATTAAGGGTAAACCATTGACTGCCAGAAAATCATTTGCACCTTATTAAATGGAGCACAATGACTCAGGGCTAATTTAACTGCGGCAGTTATTTCCATTTGATGTACCATGAATTTCGGCCTGGAAATGTTGAGCCAGGTGAATCACGCTGAGGAGCGCATTGTTCACTCTTTGTGTTCTTAAAAGTCTTTATAAGTGGAGGACAGACTTGCATTAGACCTGGGCCTTTCCTAGTTCTGTCAGCACTGCTTTTTGTACCATGCTAGGTTTGATCAGTAACCTCAGACACTAACAGCACAAAGATGACTTGGAACGGTAATGTTCATGCTTAAGCAGCACACTGTGCCTGATTGCTGCGGAGTCCCCTATATCTCATTGGCCAGCTAAACTGCCAAACACATTTAGTGACTGTTCAGTGCCACAAGAGGCTGCCCAAGTGTCACTCAGATGGGAACGCTCGGTGCTGCTCTTGGGCATGATTGAGAAGCTGGTCATGTGACTGAAAGGTGTGCCATCCTGACCTGGGAATGTCGTAGGTGAAATGCTGTGGGGTCCGTAACTGGTCAGGCAGACAGTCAAGCAAAACATTTAAGAAATAGTCTTTTGTGGGCGGAGCCTGGATGTGCCATCATATATAAACCTTTCCGTCTCTAACATTATGTCATCATGGGTTTTACTGTACTGCCACATCACTTGCAATGGCAGCACTCATCCACTTAAGCTTATTAATCCATGTAATTCAGATACTTTCTGCAGATTCGCTGTGGTTCTCCCTGCAAATATAGGGCAGACACAGCATTTTGCCAACTGGTGTGTCCTTGCATTACATAGTCCAGGGCAGTATGGGTGACAGACGCACCTGCTGACTGACTGCGGGCAGTAGGGCCTCTTCTGTTGGCGGAACACAGCTCAGAGGTCCAGCTCAGCAGTTTGTAACACATCCTCATCCTGTACCTGCGTGGGACCGCTTTAGACCTACGCCCATAATCGCACTCCGCCAAGTATCCCAGCTTCCAGATTTTGCCCATTTGATCCCATGCAGTTACGTTCAGAAGGTTATGTCTGCAAAACCCAGGTTAATGGCCACTGAGATTGTGTCCGTCACAAGCACCATCCTGCAGTGCACTCATTCCACCAGGTGGGGGCACTAGCGCCTTGCTGTTGGCATCAAGCTGGGCCACTTTGAGAAATATCACAGATGATGTGGCAGCCGGGCCCACGCAACCTGGCTCAGTGGCGGTTTGGTGACATTGCTTTATAAGGAAGAATCCTAAGGGGACCATAAGCCTGTCACATGCTTCATGAGGGACTTCTCTCCATACCTCTTTGGGCCAGACGGCTCGGGTCCTGCATGACCAGGGAAAGGTATCGTGTTCGGCTTCTCCTTTATTCCTCGTTCTTGTGTTATGGAGCTCTGAGCTGCTACAGACCCACGGCCAGCATTCTGTATTAATGAGGCCCTCCGCCGCGGGGTCACTGAGGTCTGTTTACAGGGGCGCGGGGTCTAATCGGGGCTCGTGAAAGTGCCGCGCGATCATCGATTACTTACGCCTTTCAGAGCACCGGCTTCCAGCTGCTACGCTCGGTAACCTCAGACCCCCCACCCGAGTAATCTGACACGAGACATCGCAGCTCCCTGGATGTCCATTCGTTCGCTTTTCCCACTTTTTCTGGGGAAAGCCAAGGCGCCATTACTCCTTTGGCTTTGCGAAAGCCATGTCTTCGAATGCTTAGAGGGTTTGAGGCACTACAGCTCCCTGACGGTCAATATTGTGACACTGCTAATGTAACCGTTTCCGCATCCGCATATCTCTCCTGCTAAATGCATAGATCAGACCTTAAGCCCCTCTGGGTAAGAGCTTCAGCCAAATGAATGCATGCAAATGTCCAAAATCTAATCCTGTGGAATGAGTCTTAATTTTTAATCCCCGGGGCCCATTTTTGCGATGAGGGTTCGCGTCCACTGAGGAGAAACAGCATGGATCACCCTGCCACCTGGGATTCGAACCTGCTGCCTGCTGATTCCAAGTCCAGCATTCCTGAAACTAAAAAATGAGGAGTGTGAGTTTGATGGGGCAGTGGGCTAAGGAGGGGGACGGGGTGCGTGCTGTCGCAGTTGGAAAAAGGTGACATGGTGCACTGACTGCTGGGTATGAGTCACATGTCTGTCCTCAACCCTGTACAGTAAGTCGCCATGCTTTGGCAAGTAGCTGACGGCTGACTGTTTGATTATAATAATACAGTCACATAATCATTAAAAATGTCACCTTTTCTGTTCAGTTCAATTATGACCTGTTCTGTTTTAAGATGTGCCAAATTAGCAGCTTTACATAGTAATGAATTTGCCATTTCAAACACCTTGATCCCAGCGATATGGTAATGAAAGAACCCTTTAGCTACGGAAACCAAAAGCCAGCTTCAACTCCTGAATTGAGCCCCACTGGGATGAATGCATGCGCCTCGGTGACACCAGAAGGGTCAGATGTGTGCTAGGCCGGCCTGGGCCCATTTAAAAATAGCTGGGTGACACAGAGACAAGAGGTGTTGATCGCAGCCAGTTCAAGGCCAGCGTAGGATTACGCGCACACAAAAGGAGTATTAAAAAAATATATATCTTTCAAATTTCGACACAGACAAAGGGCAGCAGGCCTATCAGGCGGAAATCTGAGATTGCAAATGCGGGGAGCACAAAGAGGTCCGTTCCCTCCAAGATGGGATCCCGTGTCCGTTCCGATCGTCTCCAATGCTGCTGAGGTGATACGGGTCCTTGGCCCAACACCAGTACTCCCCAGCAAGGATCCGGAGGTGCTGCGGGACGCCGGAGACACCCCACAGCCTCAAGGCCTCATCTGGCAACTCACAGCCGCTTTCTGGGAGCCGGCAGTGACATCCCGTACCCATGTGACCAAGGTCAGGGCGGTTCGCTCAACACCCTGTCCGTGTGTCACGTCTCCGGCGTCCCGTTGGCTGCAGAAGCAAGTCGGTGCCAATGACACACTTCTGTTTCAGAAGCCCACCCCCTGCGTGGATCTGATAACTGCCATAAACGTATCCAGAGCGTTAAGAAGCAGCACAGGGTTATGGATTCACACGTGTAAATACCCATGTCTGTAAACGTCATCAGAGTCTCAGCAGCGTCAGCTTCGTAAAAAAAATCGAGCACCGTTAGGCATTCTGGGTTTATCAGCACCTGAAATCATTTGCATCAGCACTGATCAGCACCAGTGATGCTTGTGTGCAAGCTGCAGGTTTTTGCACATTTATAATTAAATGTTTGTCGATCTTGCTTCCATGGGAAATTGTGGTTGTACAAACTGCTTGGGTATCAAGTCAAATGAGTTCAACAAACTAAAAAATAACGTGGGCATTTGCCAAGAAGCCATTTCTTCCCCTTATGCCGTCCTGGAGCAGTTCAGGTGACCGTTATTCTATCTTGCTGTTTTTCTTTCAGCCACACTGATGCTGCTTGCCTGTTGGGTCATGAAGGATCCCTGACCTGGGTCGATGGCCCATCCAGGGACTGGCGTTCTTCGAGACATGACACTGGATTTAACCAGTGTCTACTCGCTCTGTGTCCAGTGGAAACAGGAAGAAGGGCCAACACTGCCTCTGCTGGTGAAAGTTAGTACATGCAGTGAAGGAGGTGAAATGGATATAACTTGTTATAACAGGCAGATATTGTATCAGTTAAAATTCACACATATACCAAGATAGGCCGTTAGAGTTTGTGACAATTGCAGGCTGTCTTGGGGGCCTTCCATAAGGAACTGAAACACTGCAGATCCTGTTTTCACAGAAAGTTTATGGGAATGTTTATTGACACACACAGCAACCCAGAGTCCTGCGGCATCGTTACAGGCTGTCTGTGGGCGAATAAAAAACAAGACCATGTAGACCAGGCACACGAGGCCTGCCACAGCCAGCGTCAATGCCTAGGTTTGGTAACCATCTTGGCTGACCTCCTGTTTCTCAGAAGCAGGCCGGATGGAAAGACATAGCAAAGGAAACTGGATTCTGTATCCAAAACAAAAGGCTGGCAAATCAGCGGCATCCACTGTAACCGGCAGAATGACTGTGCATTCTATAATCAAGAGTACGGCCACAGATGTCCGCGTGATTGTGGCAGCATCTATCACAGCAGGCCTTGGTGCCTATTAATAAGCTGGAGGCGAGGCAGGCCCAAAAAATACAGCACAGGTGCTATGAGGAAGTGCTTTCAAGTGCCGGTATTAGCCAATCACAGGCAAGGGAACAACAAACCAACCCAGCAGAAGTCAGTTAATGCTTATAACGTTACCTAAACTATTCATTTCTAATCCACCCACCCAATTCAGGAACTGTGATCGATATGGACCTGAGCCCCTTCTGGCAAGATCTCAGTCAGTCACACGTATAGTCAGTGTTACAGTTCAGAGTCAGCTGTCCCTTAAACAGCCTCAGTTTGAACCTGCCCCCCCCCCCTCCCACAGAGGCCAGT